ATTGTTACTCCATCTTGGCCATCTATTGTTCCTGCACATTAGTTCTTCTATTTTTACAATTTTTCTACTGTCGTATACGTGTCTCTTTTTCCATCATGTCCCTTCTATCAACGCGTGACGCGCGCTCAACGTGATCCCTGTACAACATTACCGACATTGTTATAATTCGCGTGGCTCTATTGCCAAATGCCGTTCTCTTCGCGACATTCGAAGTCAATAGGTGTCAATGAGCGCGCACTTCTCATATGGCCTCATCCCCTACTTTTTCAGTGTAAGAGATGAGGCTGAATGTGCTGACGCCAGGTGGTCCGTTCCGATACTGTTCTACCCGTACCAACTACCCTCCTGCGCAGCTACCTTATCCGCATACGTTCAGCCCAGATAGGTGCTAACTTCTAAATTCTTATCCCAACAACGGTAACGGGTCATTTTTTATACACATTTATGTACTTAGGTCTTCCACGCTTTTGAGCACATGAGGAAACAGCATTGACATATTCGCTTTATCTATCCTTATACCTGTATGCTCTGACGTTTCCAAGTATGTGTACTTACGCACCTGACGGACGGGCTGAACGTATAAACAGATTCTTCCAATGTTTGTTTGTTATGGTCAGTCCTCATGCATGACCCAACATCTGCCACACACCACAAGTTAAAGTAGCAACGTGTCGTTCACAGGCTTAGAACGTACGAACGACTGATGAAGTAGAAGTCGTTCAGTAAAGGTGGCGGTACCCGGTGAAATAGTGAGCGAGCACAAGCACGCGTTCCTGGTGTGACTTTTTGCAGCACTCGGTCAAAGCTCACGTCTCTCAGCTCCCGCCAGCGGCGTTTAAGCTCAGCCTGACCAGTTAAGGTTTCTGCAACCTTAGTGTAATGCCGAACGGTATGTTTCCTTCCGTTAATTATGTCCAGCTAGCCGCGGTACGACCCCTGATGTAAACGGCTATGGACGCTTGTCGATGAATACAACAGGGTAAAAATACTTATTGGTGGTTCGCCATCTTGCATGCACTGCTAGCAAGAACCGAAGGCTGAGAGCCGAGAACCATTGGAAGTACGGCTGAAACCTGCTTTCGCCAGCTAGCGCAAGCTTTATGTGAGCCTCTTTACTTGCCGTCGTTTGCTCAGCACTATTAGCTAATTTGGGCATTTACATTTATATTTAGCTATGGCAAGAATATTTAGCAGTAACTTCTTAGGTATTCGAGTGTGAGTGTGTGTGTGGGAGAACTTGCGCTGCTGCCATTGGCAGATACAGGGAAAGCCGATAAGATGGAAAACCGAAAAAGGCGCTAGTGTAGTCAGCTTCAAGCTTGCAAACCGTAAGGAAGCTATTCTATCTGTGTGCGTTTGACACCAGCAAATACTCAACATAGGGGTAGCAGAAAAGTATTTTATTGAAAATATGCTATTATCATGCACTTGAACTGTACTACAATCATAACTTCAAACCATGCCTAAAGGGAGCTAACAATCTCTATTCTAGGTTTCGTAATAGCTTTGAGAAGTTTATCTATATTTAGACTTAGTTTAATTTCACAGTGAATTTTAACTCCAATGGACTAAATATGCTTCTATACTGCAAACGACTAAGAATTCCATTATATATGTCTTGAGATATTACGGTCGATCTGTGGACGAAGGAATCGCCAAAACTAGTTTGTAACTCTATTCCATACAAACGCGTTTATACGTCCCTTAAAATAACGTATCTTCAATATTTTTTTTCAAACGTACGACGCAAATTAGATCATATATATATATATATATACATATATATATATATATACATATATATATATATATATACATATATATATACATATATATATATATATATATATATATATATATATACATATATATATATATACACATATATATATATATATGGATTACCAGTACTTCGGCAAGAGTCAGCGCTATATCTGGGGCAAGCAAAAGAGCTTAAGATTTTTTCTACATAATTTTCAATCACCACTTCATTCATAAATGTTTACTCATGACTTGGTCGTGTGTGCTACACTCTTGATCTTTCGGATTGGTTTAGTAAAGACTCGCTTAGCTTGATCGTCAAGCCTCTTTACTTCGAGACGATACCATTGTTCCTAGTTTCAAGACAAGAACTATAAAGGAAGGAAGAACGAAAGATAGATTTAGCAGTGCGGCTGCATAAAATCGTAGATTTCCTTTAGTATCCTCGTCAGTCGATCCAGCTTGTTTAACCTGCTGGACCCAACGCGGCTTTGCCAGTCTGAGTTGAAAGGGAATCGGTAAGCGCTTTAACCACTAGTAACTACGGTAGCCCCAGCAACAGACCTAGGACAGCTTCGGCTCTTACTACTCCTTACATACAGCTTACTTACACTTAGATGGTTAACCCATCCCTGACGTGTCTTCTTTTCCGCCCACCCCGACAATCTCCCAACGGGTATTTTCTGCCGCCGGCACTCTCGTTTTCGCGCTTTTTCTTGACTCCCACCCTATAATCGCCTACCGGTTGCATCCTCTTCCTGCTTATTTTCCGTTCCTGCTTTTCTACTCTACGAGGGAAGCCAGGAAGCAAAGCGAGCAGCAGGACAGTGGACGGCTCCGTGCTCTTGCTCAGTGCTCTTCCTTATTGTGCTGATCACGAAGGCCACGTTTCGGTAGCAGTAGAAAGACAGTGCGCCATTGCTGAGTATATGAGAATGTGTGCCATTTCGTTCGAATGATGTCGGCTACTCAGTAACGACCCCCGTATCCACCGAAGCGCCCTTCTACCTTCGCCCATCTAAACCTGCTCACCTACCTTAGCACGATCAGGGCTTCCCCTTTGTCGAAAGCGCCTTCTGAAAAGCATTCGCCATCCGTTTGGAAGGCGAAGAAGAGTACCGGCAAGACGGAGAGAGATACAGTATATCTCTACAGCTCGCCTTGCTGCTGGCTTTTCCCGGAAGCTGAAACTCGGCTATTGTGGGAAACCAGCATAGAGAGGGACGGCTGTTGGTAATGCTGCTGATGCTGTGTACTAGCGAATACAGTACGGGGGATAGTAGTTCGTGTTGGCGAGCGAGTAACGGTTGCGAATTCCGGGAAACAATCTCTGTAACTCCACCTCCTTGCCCAACTCGTGTCCTACTGTTCTTCCACACCGCTTACGACTCATTCGAGCCGTTCAGGATTTCCCAATTCAAGGGTATAAGAGTCGGCTCGCCTGTGTTCCTGCTACTGTCGGGCATGGGAAAGAGCACAAGTAACTTCTTGTTCTCCATGAAATCTTGAATTGAGCAGCATAGACGTGTATATACGTATATATGTGCATTTGTTTGTACGTTCCTTTGCGCATGTTCTATTGTCAGTGGTGATAGAAGTACGAGTCGACCACTCAGTAACATACGCAGACCTTTAATGCAACGCTAAAGAATAGCAGACAGTCAGAATCATAAGCGGCCTCTCGACACACGTAGATACGAGCTCGTAAACGAAAAACGAGAAGTAGGATTATTACGAGCTGTGGAAGCGAAATAATGACGGTGTCGCTGACGCTCTGATTAGGTAGACTAGGCAGTATTACTACACGCAGTAGTGCTACGCTTTTTTGGGCCTGCCACAATAATTCGTCGAGAGGCGAACGGGGAGATGGAAGATATTTGCTACATACGAACGCTTACCTTTAAGGGACAAAGAGTAATTTAGTATACTGAGGCGTTTTGTAATCACTAGGACTTGCACAAGACATTCGTGAATGCGTGAAACCTCTTCAAAGAAACAAGTATGCAAAAAAAGTTATATTATTTTTCTATGTGAGATCTTCGTGCATGGAATCAGCTGAAGTAAATCAATTGCACGTCTTGAAAAAGCCATGAAAAGCTACGACGTACTGTGATTACGACCCAGGTAAACAAAACCTGGCTAATACGTGGGATAGACGAGAGCGGCTCGATTCGCTCTTATATATATATATATATATAGAGAGAGAGAGAGAGAGATGTAGCACGAAGGAAGCGTTAGGTGAATTATTTAGAGCTCTACGGTGTGGTAGTGGTAAGGCGGTGGACCTCTATGCTTATTTGTTGATACTAGTTCATGATGGGTCTAAGATTATCGTCGTACGAACCTCTCCGTGAGACTGGTGGCGGGAATCAAAAATCGGATTACGCCCAGGCGAAGACGCATGGCTCTGCTTTGAAGATTATGAGATGCCACAGGAAAGTGCCTAAATGGGGTGAAGAATGGATGGATATCGTGATGATCATTTCAACAGCGACGATGTTGGCAGTTAACTGCTGAGAATTAAAAAAGATGTAAAACAAGCTGATGTGTGCGGCATGCACGATGTGAGAACAAGGTGGGAGGAAGTGAACTGATTACGATCTCCTATTGATGAATACCTTGATGATGAACGGGTAAAGTTCCTGACATCACTTCAACATGAGCTTTTGATGTAGAAGGTAGCTCAGGTTTCAGCTATAGGCTCCTTAATGTAATCATTTTTATCCGAGAACTTCAGTATGAAGCCACTCTAAATATTATTAAGCCCAAAACGGACCACTTCCCGATGTATTCCGCAACCTGCTAAAGCTTCCTATAATGCTTTCATGGGATTTCATACTTGCTCGTTTACCCTTGTTACTTTTTAACGAAAATGGAAAGCATGGCTTTCGTTATGGGTATATATCGTATATTGATAGAAGATGGACATTATTGTGCTGACTAAGAATGAATCTATTTTGCCCGCTTATGCAGAGAAATGGGCCCATTTAACTGAACCAACTTTGACAACGTGGACAATTGGGTAGAACAAGTATTTTTTTTTTGGCGCACATTTTCGAGACTGTTTTGTTGGAACAGGCTATGCAGAAAATAAGCTGCATAAATTGCTAGCGACGTATATAAAAGAGGTACCTGGAAAGCAAGGTATATTTTGAAAACGATAGAATTCATGCAGAATTTACTGTACGAAAAAAATATTCTAGTTTGTCTTAATAACTATTGTCGTTTTAACATTTCAGGTTGAGGAGGGATGGTGGAAAGGAATCCTAAAGGGTCGGATGGGAGTCTTTCCCTCAAATTTTGTGGGTCCTATCGATGGTACCCCTGTCGGGAAGGACGAACCTAAAGGGGCGGAAAAGGATGAAAAAAGAAAGCAACAAGGGCAACAGCAGCAGCAACAACACCAACAGCAGCAGCAGCAGCAGCAGCAGCAACAGCAACAGCAGCAACAACAACAACAACAGGCTTCACCAAAAACTATTGCCGCTTCCAACTCCACTGAAACTTCATCTACCACCACGGCGACGCCTGGAGTAGCAGTCAACAACGGATTAACGCCAGGTATATAAATGTTATATATTAGGGACGTGATAATCTTTTAAGTGCTAGTATTTTGACAGTGAATTGATTTTAGAAGTGACTGCTTTGCGTATTTTCAAACATGTCTAAACCATGATTAGGTGACTATGTTTGACGCGTCTACTGATTGCGTGGAGAATGTCATCTCATTAACATTGAAAACTGAGTATTGTTTAAGGAATTGTTTTTTATTTCTTCAACTATTGTGCTAGTTGTTCTTCAATATCTAATGAATTACATGCTCGTTTTTCAACAAACTATTAATCTCAATTATTAATTAAAAATGGCATTATTATGTGCCTTTCGTGGGATCGCTGTGGTTCCTTACCAAGAGCCACCAATGGCCTTATTGTTAGAAGATATTGTATTGCCTTCTGGAAGTTATCTCTTAATAAAACGATGCATACCGTTTGCACTCATCACGCTGTAAATACATACACGGCGAATACTCATAGACGCACCCATAAACATCCGAAATATGAACATCGCAACTTTAAACGGAGCGGTGACGGTGTTACCTTCCCAAACATTGTCATCATTTGTCGGTGCCGTCGGCGAGGGACGTCCGGATGGATACCTGACACCGCCAAAGCTGAGCCCAGTTCGGTACCCGCTTTTTCTCGGTCGACCAGACCCCGTAGAACTGCATCAGGTCCCGCAAGGCAGAACTACTGAGGTTTTGCTCTAGTATTAGTCCACGGTAATTGCCCCCTTAACACCCCCCAACTTTGCCCTTTGCTGATGCCTCTGTTTGTCAGCGTTGAAGCTCTTGACGATGTCATTGTTCGTAATCCATTGAGCGGATGCGTACGGGAATTTCCAGCAAGTGATAACATACAGAGGGATGAGGTTGTAGGAAGCCGAGGACGCGTTAGGGATCGCTTGTCGGGGAAACCGTTCTTGTCCCAGCAAGGTTATCCTGGAGCATTCCCGCGTTTGTGATATCCGGTTCTAGTTCGCTGGTTCCCCAAAGTGTTCCTAGCCAGCCTTGGTCAGGTTTAAAAACCTTCCGGAGTTTGCGTTTGTGGCCGATAGTTAGTTTTTCTCCAATGGCGGCGGCGTCAACGGCGATGATGACACGTACCCTTATTAGCTAGCCGGCGTACCAAACTTAGGCCCGCGAAACTTGGATGTCGTGTCCGTGTGCTAGTAACCCAGACCCAGCGAGATCTCTTTGCCTTCATCGGCGGCACTATCCTTTATACATGGCAACACCAGACACCACTAGGGTGGATCCCTATGATAATGCACTCATCACACCCCATATCCAAACGTGCACCTGATGTATGTATTATATATATATGTACATTTATGAATATGTACATGCACATATTTTCCTCAAACAAGCGATAGTTCCTCTTCTTGACGTGTTTGATTTTACTAATATTTTGCTAGCTTATGGCGAAAAGCTTCTGCAAAGCTCCTATAGCCGAAGTATCGTATGAGACTCCTAACTTTAATCGATTCACCCTCAGAAGCTTAAATTTTAACTTGCCAATTGAAATAAAATATGTTTGAAACGTATGTTGATTCGAAAGAGTGAATTTGAATGTAATATGTGCTTACAAACTATAAACCCTTGGAAAACTGTGTACCATCATGCTTATTTACCGTTTTCGCTGCTTTAATTAATTCTAGAGTGTCAGGAGGTCTATAGCTCTTCTCACAATTGAATTTACCTTGCATGCAAAGCTTTTTTATTTTATGACAGAGGACGGTCGATGAAATTGCATATCTACACATTGACGAATAGTTCGTTAAAGCTTGTCTAATATAAATTATGTCGTGTAAATCATAGACTCATACATTGAAACACTGATGTACACAGCGTGTAAGGATTTGGACTAAAAGTTGCCATGGAAAGCACACCAAAGCGAAATGGTCTAGGCGGATGATGTTCCGCCCACTGCTGTCCATTGACGATCGACAACAGAGCAGCCATAGCAGCATTCATAGTGATAGCGTTGATACTTACTCAGTCCGAGCGGCCGACGCTTGCCGCAAGTAGAGGTCCGTACGGTTCCGCAGTGCTTAGACAAGCGCCCCTCGTGCATCCCCACTACCGTTATTGCTGCTATCGCAGTTGGTGTTACCGCTGCTGCTGCTGCTGGCTGGTAACGTTAGCGATAAAGTATTTTCTTCTTGAGTATGCTTTGGAGCTTAAAACAGCTTTTTTCAGCAAATATGTGGTAGCTACACGTAGTCACACGGGATTGGTGGCTTCTATCGCGGCCGGTAGAGCAGTAAGAGGATTATGCTTCGACCGCCACTGAAGCAAATAAATAAACAGCTTGACGTTACTAACGTGGCGATCTCCATCGCCACCAACGGACGCAGCGCCGCCACCGCTTTGGTAGTGTATGGTTAATATACTGTATACTTTGCCGAAAGGCGGGACGACGTCATTCTCTAGAGCCATCCACAGGGAACTTTCTCTGTGTATACTTCATGGCTTGCCTCACGGGCATGCCTTGGTTTACTCATTGTGAGCAGAAGCGTCATTTGCGGGAGTCGTCCTAACCTCGCTGTTAATGTTCGGATCGTCATCAGCATCATTTTTGAATGTTGGTACTAGCTAGCAAAATCAAGTTAAATTATTCTTAACTATAAAGGAACTTGTACGATTACACGTCTAAGTAGTACCGTAAAATATAAACAACAGGTTTTTGACAGATTTCTTCTAGGGATGTTAGCATGTGCTTCGAACGCCGTTGTATATTAGATATTTGAAAATCTTCTGGCAGCTTCGACAATTGCCGTAATCGCTCACTGTTATTACGTTTATGTTTTAGAGAAGTCTATCTTTTTAAATGTTATGTTTCGTAGGCTGATCAAACATTTCATTCAAAACTCATTAGCAGTTATATGAAAATTTTATGCTTACGTAAAAACCTATAAATTTTATACTGGCTGTGTTAATATATATGCTATTTCTGTTAGCAAGTGGGTAGAATAAACCCTAGATAAGCTTGTAGAGGTGCTTTCTATATTATTTTGAAATCAATGTATTATTTAAACCTTAATATTTGTTTTGGATTTACTTCTCTGCGTTACCCAATCCAGTGCGTAAGGACGATTTATTCTTACCCGTCGAACACGCGCGGTCATAATCGGCGTTTTCCTGACAGCACCGATATTTGAAAAAGAAAAAGATCATTTTTTCTGGCCCAGCCCATCTGGGTTATGTTGTTTTTATCGGTGCAACCGCTTTTGCCACCACACTCGGGCAAGAGGGAATAAAACCCAATTTGATTCCTGAATGATTTCGGTATGGACAAACGCTAGCTTAAATTCGGTGAATTGAAGAGAATGTGGGCAAAACAAACAAATGAAAACGATTGTTTTTCGTTTTTTCGTTCTACTTTTGTTTTCGAGCAACCTTCGTTGTCCTATTGACAGATCTTCCATACTTTTTTCCCTGCCAATCTACCCTAAGTTGAAGAGACTCGGGCGCCGAATGGAGATCGTCTATGTTGTTTGGGATGTTTTCTCTTAGGAAAACAAAGACACCGGAAGAATCAGCAAAAGATTTAGCTGTGCCAGACGTCTGCGCCCCCACCCCGATAGTCAACGGTTTCTTTCAATAATCGTGGAGGCTTGGAGAGAAGGCAACAGATCGCGGATGACTACATCAGATCATCGAGGCCATTATTCTTTGCTACCCTCGTTCTATTTTATGGGCGTCCCCCAACACTGTTTTAGAAGAGCAACTTGTAAGTGTTCTATGGGATAACTAAGCGGCGAATATAAAATCATACTTGTGCCACCCACGCCCTCGCGCACACAACCTGTTTTGTTCTTAGCAACAATACGGAAAGCCATTCACTGAAAAAACTGAAAGAAAAACAATGAAAACGGGTGGGTTGACGTTTACACAATTCGCTTCGATAAAGTAGAGCTGGAGAAAATGCAAGCGAAATAGTCTGTGAGTTTTTTTTGACGAGTAGCGAAGAAATATTAGACGAACCCTTGAATTACCTGGCCGATTTCAGACACGAGCTTGCCTCTAAATTCTAGGGTTTACACGACGTTGAAATTGTCATCCTTTATGCCTAGAACGGCATTAATTTTTAAGCATGCAAGAGGGGCCAACTTATTTGTAGATAATAATATAGTAATAATTTTTCATTTCATTATCTATACTGCGTTCGAATGAAGTGCCTCTTGAAATAAAAGTATGTGAAGAACTGATGGACTTAATATTTTGAAGCATTACAAATATCTCGGTAAAAATTTGGTGACCACTTTTGCGGATTCCCGCCACGGAAATGCTTTTAATTCAAAAGAAAATAAAGAGTTTGGTTGTATTGAAGTTTCCTCATTTTCTTTTACCACAAACGGATTCGATAGCAGAGAGGCTGAACCGTTCCTAACGAAAACTAACATAAATCCGTTATCTTTATAATACTAGTTTCGACGGGTAAAAAATAAGAACTGTTAGAGGTAAAATACGACTAGCCCGTAGGTGGCGACAGCTACGTCGTTCATTTACGCCTTTCTCCTAAATCAGCTGGAAGGACGCGATAAGTACTTACCCGATTTATTCTTTTACCAGCATCACTTGATTTGCTGGCACACGTCTGATCCACTGCCTAGTCTTCGTATCCTGTATTGCCTTCTGTTAGGTTAGCACAGCAATCTCTAATAATCTATGCTTACGTTGGTCTCTTTCAGTCATGCTCTATAGACTTGCTCCAGAACACTTGCTTCAAGGCACTGACCCCATGACTAGCATGCCACGAGTGAGCAGAAAAAGCAACGCAAATGTAACTAAACGTCTCAACCATAACTGTTAACCATAACCGAGCAGTATCAAAGCAAACCGCGTTGGTTTCTCTGCTTCGTTTAGATGAGCTTGAGATTGTGCTGAAATTGTTTTGTTCAGGTTGAAGCTGACACCTTAACAATCGTATACATGTCTCTAACGTAGCTGTTGCTAGCACTTAGTATAATTGCAAAGCTACCTATCGAGAATATACCAT